CCCCCCGAAGACAGCCGGTGTCGGTCCAGGGGCCGGGTCTGTCCCAGTCCGAGCGCAGGGTGGGTCTCCTCAGATCACAGCCGTGCACTCACGGAGACATCTGTTTTCAACCTCAAGGCCTGGGGGCTACGCTGTGCGGCACACGGTATTGCCAAGGAGACAGGATCGAGTTTCGCACAGTTCCACAGAGGTGTATTCTGCACAAGCGCTGATGGGGAAAAACATCCACCGACAGTGGCTGGTTTTACGACGATTTGGGTACTGTAAGCTCGTCGGCGCACCCTAGCGGCCTTGGTCAGCAGTGCAGTAGCCGGACAGTGTGGGAAATCATTAAAAAAAACTTTTAGAATTTTTTTTTCCCCTCGAAGAAGAAATATTGTACGATTTTTTTTCCAAGGGAAGCTAGACAGAGGCAAAGAGAAGCTTTGGTCATTGTAATCTGAATGATTTGTATTTTTTCCCCCCCTAAACACTAACAATCTTTTTCGTCTCTTCATGACGAATACGCCGCATAGCAACAAGTCAATCAACGCGACTAAAACGTTTTAAATGCAGCCGAAGGGGTCGCACTTGTTATGACTGCTGCCTCATAGCACAGGGGTGTCTGTGTCTGTGATGGAATGGCGTCCCATCCCGTGTGTGTCCCATGCAGGAGCTGCTTAGAGATGTCAGTGTAATCTCTAAATGTAGATAGCAATCAACATGGATAGCATTTCTTTGTACAAATGTGGGAGGAAACTACTGTATCTGCAGAAAAAGACAACATATATGTGAGCAGATTATTTAGACTCCACACAGAAGAATTGCCACAGCGGTATTGATCTCTGACCCGGTCGGAAGAGTCACCCGATAATAGATACAACACATTTTAAAACATGTGTCTATACTGTTTGAACAGTTTGAGCTCATCTAGCTGTTGCAGCCAGGGTTTCAGCTGCGTGACTGGGCAGCTTGTTCCAGACCCTCACAATCATGTGTGCGAAGAGGTATCTCCTGTTCCTGCTTTGAAGGGCATTTGTGTGCGGTTTCCTCTTGTGTGCCCTGGCTCATGTTTCTTCGCTGATGCCGAGGAAGTACACTGGCTTGACTTTGTCAGTGACCTTCAGAAAGTGGAAGGCGTGAATGAGGTCCCCTCTCGGTCCTCGCTGTTCAAGACGAAAGCGATTCAGTTCTTTCAGCCTGTCTAGAAGTCTAGGAAGTGTAAACCTGTTAGAGCTGTCTGTAAATGATCAGATTTTATGAGCAGGTGAATGAAGAAGATATCCATTCATACAATGATGTTGCATACAGTACACAAAGCATAACAACAAACAGGCAGTGCATTTTTCTGCTTAAGAACTATTTGCTGATCTAGGGAAGCTGACAACTGACACCTCAGTATCTCAAGCCTAAATATCATGTTTCAAGTAGATTCCTATTCACTCATCTGTAGAGTTATTATAACATTATATTCAAGGAAAACATTATGGGCTTTTCAGTACTGAAACAAAAAAGAGAGAGGCATTAAAAACACCACAAATGAGTACAGGAACTAATAACTGTTATATCTGTTATGCCTCAGTATGAATCTGAAAAGAAATAATAGCACAGAAGTAACAATAATGTAAAAATGACCACAGCAAAACAATAAAAGGAGCTGTGTGGTAACAGTAAATACCACACATTGCTAGCTTCCTCCTGGAAGAGCCTGCAGCAAGCCAGGGATGATTACAAACGCCCTGCAAAGTGTGTCTCACCTCCTACCAAGCACGACTGTGTGGAGAGCCCCACTGAGGAGGCTGGCGCTCGTGGCGGTGGAAGCAAAGGCCAGTTTCAGCCCCTTGACAGACCCCACAGCTCACTGTGTGCTTTGGAAGAGCTTTACTTCTTAGGGAAGAGACACCAGACCTTTGACAGCCATGACGCACAGCACATTTCTCTAGTGCATCTCTCTCCAGAAGCTGTTTGAGGATATGAAATCCTTCTCCAAGATGACAGCGTGCACAAGGGGAAGCTAATCTGAGACACCAACAGACTTCCACATATTTAAGATGGAAGGGTCTTGTTTTGAAGACAGATCACAAAATAGACCACAGCCACCTGTAGAGTGATATCCAGTTGTACTGTAGAAGAAGACCACACGATATATGCGGTTTTAGATATTATCGATGCAGACTGGGTTCAGAAACACTCTAACTGAATTCCATTAACACCAAAAGATAACAGAAAACTTAAAATCAAAACCTTAAAACATGCACCTTCCTGTCCCTGTGAAAGCGGCTTACCGGGTCTTTCTCAACAACGAGAACATTCAACTAAGCACTACAGAACTTTATGCGCCCTTTAAAAACGAGCAGACGCAGTCTGATTACGTCAAAGCAGGTGCGCCGGTTGAGTGTTGTAGGTGCGTTGTCATGGTAACCGTGACCCACTTACCTTGATGAAACCAGGGAGAAAAGAAGAGGTCTGAAAATTTGTGATGGATAACTGGAACATTTTCCCCCTGTGCAATCGTGACGCGTTTGCTCTGTAAGGTAAATATGACAAGACGCTGTCTGCGAAAAAATCATTTCCACCCTGAACTCCGGCGTTTTAACAGTGGATCTTCGTGCCGACTTTTTCGAATTACATTGACGGTGCAATATCTCTCCCCTGTTCACTAACTCGACATTAATTTAAAGCTAAAATTCAACAACTGTCTTTACGAAGACACACAGGTCCAGATACAGTACAGTGTCCCTTACAGATTGGTTCATAGCCCGACTGGTATGACGGCTGTGTTTTTCTAGCCTCGCTTCTGTTCTTTTGAGAACAGCGTAAAACATTGAAGTTTCTATAGAAATGCCCCAGTTCTCCACAGAAATCTATAGTAACTGTACAATGCTATTTTCTAAATCTGAAATTGTTCAATGTGCTGCTATCCTGCTATCTCTTCCGCTGGCCTCCGGCTGTCTGTGCTGCTGTTCCCTGCTTGCATTATTATTGATCTTGTATCCGACTTCCAACAGCAACAGATCGTCCTTGGCTCTAACAGCTAAACTGAAGATCGTGATGTGATTTAGCCAGTCTAGACTTATGCCCTCGATGTCTACATGTCCCTAAAGGTGCCACTGAATTCTGCTCTAACGGTAGCTTCCTGAAGTATGATTGCCAGTGAGGTGAATTTCAGGGTATTTAGTTGTGAATTTTTGACCATGAAAAGTTGGTAAAAAATTCACAATCCAGCAAGATCTAAACTATTCAGAAAGCCTAGAACCATGGGTGTTTTTTGAGATATTTGCCTATGTAAGATCCAAGTAAACACAGGGCAAGATACTGATGATTAAAGGGTGTTTATTCCTAATAATTAATAATAATAATAATTGCTTACACTTATATAGCACTTTTCTGAACACTCCATTTAAAGAGCTTTACAGGTAATGGGGATCCCCTCCACACTCCATTTAAAGAGCTTTACAGGTAATGGGGATGATGCAACAGCAGT